GGAACGGCTATAATCAAAACCCTGAAGAAAAGAAGTTAGTGTAAAAATTGAAAGCATTCCCACTTACAACTGGAACCAGACAAGGTTGCCCTTTATCACTGCTTCTATTCAACATAGTCCTAGAAGTCCCAGCCAGAGAAATCACACAAGAGAAGGAAATCAAGGGCATCCAAATGGGGGCAGAAGAGGTCAAACTCTCACTCTTTGCTGATGATATGATTTTATACCTAGAAAATCCCAAAGATTCTGCCAGGAGACTACTGGAATTCACAAACAAATTCAGCAAAGTCTCAGGTTACAAAATCAATGTACAGAAATCAGTAGCATCCCTATACACCAACAAAGTCAAACTGAGAACCAAATCAAAGACTCAATACCCTGGACAATAGCAACAAAGAAAATAAAGTACCTAGGAATATATTTAAGTAAGGAGGTGAAAGACCTCTACAGGGAGAACTACAAAAAGCTGAGGAAGGAAATAGCAGAGGATGTAAACAGGTAAAAAAAACCATACTATGCTCATGGATTCATAAGTCAACATTGTTAAAAATGTCTGTACTACCCAAGTGATCTATAGATTCAATGTAGTCTCTATTAAAGTACCAACATCATATTTCTCATACCTAGAAACAATAATTCTAACCTTCGTGTGGAACCAGAGAAGATCCCATACAGCAAAAGCAACCTTAAGCAAAAAGAAGAAATCAGGAGCCATCAATTTACCAGACTTCAAGCTATACCACAAGGCTATAGTAATCAAAACAGCATGGTACTGGCCAAGAACAGGGACACAGAGCAATGCAACAAAACTCAGAAACCAGATATAAAACCATCCTCATATATCCATCTGATCTTTGACAAAGCAGACAAAAACAGACACTGGGGAAAAGAATCCTTATTCAATAAATGGTGCTGGGAATATTGGATAGTCACACATAGAAGACTGAAACAGGATGCACACCTCTCACCTCTCACAAAAAACAACTCATGATGGATGACAGACTT